ACATGTTCGGCCCATATCGGGTCAGGTTCACGCGCGGGAGACAGCGCGCCGGTACCAGTTCCCATGCGTTGGCTCAACAGATTGCCCCGCCCGCCCTGATGTGATACTCGCCTTTGCCGAGGTACCGGATTACGATGAAGGGTCCCAACTGTTGGATACGAAATCTGCAATCGGCTGCGTGTTGCTGTACTGTGGGTAACCGCGGCCAAGTCGCGACGATATCTCCAGGTTGAAATTTTGGCCATTTTCTTTGGTTTGCAGACTGACAAAATTCTTCTCGGGCCTTTGCGTTTCTTTTGGCAATCAGCGCGAGCTCGTTGTCAATTGGGGGTGGTGCGACGCCAAAGGTTTTATCAGATTCAAGACGAACCGGTTGATTAAAAAAAGCCTCGGTGGGAGCAACGCCGGTAGCAGAATGTATGGTATTTTTATAGGCCAACACGGATTTATGGATGTACTGGTCCCACCTGTTGCTATCCTGTTGGACGTGCTTGGCTTGAATCTGGCGTAGGGTGCGTATGGCACGCTCACAACATCCGTTCCCTTCAGAATGCGTTGCTTGCGCGACGTGCTGCTTAATGCCCGCGTTGCATAAAAACCATTTAAATGCACGAGATCGGAATACGGAATCGCAGTCGGTATGGACAATTTCAAAAATTCCAAATTGACAAAACACTTCCGCAAGAAAAGGGATCACGGTGGGAGCATCGGCGCTACAAATGGGTTTAGCCATCATATATTTGCTATAATGGTCAACGGCAATAATTGCGTAGCAATGTCCCTCGGTGGATAACGGGAGGGGACCGTAAAAATCGAGAGTTAAACGTTCGCGTGCGTGATTCGACACTATGGGCTTGAGATGCGTTCCGATTTTGGTGGTCCGAGCATTATAACGAAAACAGGTAGGACAACAGTGGATCCTCTTCCAAATATCTTGTCTCATGGAAGGCCAATGATACCGTTTCTGCAAGGTTTGATAAATTTTTTTCCATCCAGGATGACCGAGTTCTACATGATAACTGTCTATGATTCTAACTCGTTCGGTCTCCTCTGGGACTTCGCGGCCCTCCGCGGCGTTCACCCCTACCCGGCTAAGCGCGTCTGGACCCTTAAGAAAACGACCCGGTTTGTACTCCAGTTTTGCTCGAAAAGGGGCCAACTTAGTTTTAAGGTATATGAGGCGCGTGGTTTTAAGTTTGCCGAGTAAAGCTTTGTGGTCGGTGTACACCGTGAAGTCTTTCATCTCCAAATAATGCTTAAACTTTTTGGTGACCACCCACACAATCGCGAGGAGTTCCCGTTCCAAATTTGAGTATCGAGTTTCGGTATCGTTCAATGTACAACTCGCATATTCTACCACTCGTGGCTTACCTTCCTCGTCAATCTGTGCCAGGATAGCGCCAAGCGACGTGGCCGATGCATCACAATGTACCTTGGTAGGTCGAGACGGATCCATTCATTTGAGTCTTGCGGAATCAGCCAAGATATTTTTAAGATGCTCAAAGGCGCTGTCGGCTTTGTCCGTCCAGACCAGCTTTGTCAATGGTTTGGCTGGAATAATATGCCTAAGCATCTTCTCCGCCATCGCGAAATTCGTGGGAAGATGAGCGCGCAAATACGTTGCCATTCCGAGAAAACGTTGCATTTGTCGCGTAGTCGTAGGTTTTGGAAAACGGCGTACTGCGTCGAGGTCTTTCTCGAGAGGTCGCATCCCGGTTTGATCTATTTCATGCCCTAAGAACACAGTCTTCCTGGCAAGAAACGTGGATTTAGCGAGATCGACCGCCGCACCGGCATTTTCCAGTGCCGTAAGTATTAGAGCTAAATTTTCGCGTACCCTCTCAAATGACTTGCCGAATATAATAATATTGTCCATGTACACCAGACAGCATTCAAACAAAAAATGGCGCAAAATATGGTTGACCGCGCGTTGGAATGATGCGGGGCCATTTTTTAGGCCGAATGGCATAACTCTATATTGCATCTGACCGCGCGGAGTCCAAAAAGCGGTTTTAGGTCTGTCCTCAAATGCTATGGGCAGATGATGAAATGCCGCATGCAGATCGAGGCTGCAAAAATACGCATTGTTGCGGCCCAAGGCATCAAGGAGGTCCTGGATGGCCGGCATAGGATACTGGTCATCTGCAAGAATATCGTTGATGCCTTGGTAATTTTCTACTAGGCGCCATCGTCGGTGGGGAGGAGCGTTAGGATCCGGATTCCTTTTTACCGGTTAAGAATGCTGGCGAGTTATACGGCAAGGAGGCGGGTTCTATTATCCCGGCCTTGATATACTCGTCGACGAGAGCGGCAAAAAGTGAATTCATTTCTGTTGATTGTCGGAACGAACGGGTATTTGGAATTTTATCACAGGTTGACTTGAGGGTAACGGTATGCTCGGGAAAAAAACTGCGTCGGCCTGACCACTGGTGGAACAGGTCTGCGTGACAAATCAACAATTCCGAGATCTGAGCCCGTTCGGTAGGATCACCATCGATAAAAGAAATGCCTTTGCCGATCGCGAGAGTAGGGGTCGCGTGATTCTGTATGCTACGCTGAAAACCCACAAATGCGCGGTCACCGTCAATTGTTAACGCGAGGGGGAAGTGACGGAGAGCGGTACGACCGAGAAGAATAGGGGGATCCGATAAGTGTGGGAGAATTAAAAAGGGGATGGAATACTGCAATCCGCGAAACACGAAATCAAGCACAACCTGCTGCGCAACTTTAGCGGAATCAGGGGTTAGGGCTGTCAAAACGTGGACGGAACACGGTTGGGGAACGAGTTTTAAGGTATCCACTAACTTTTGGGCGATGAAGGCGTGGGAAGCGCCTGTATCTACGAGAGCGGGAACAAGGAGGTCTCTAACCTGGAGTGACAAGATGATCGGTGGAGGTGCGGCGAGGTCCGTATCCACACAGTGCGCCGCGTTCACTGTGGCGGATGTCCGTTTCCCTGCGTCGACAATGGGCAGTATCACGCTATATGACCTGGCGCTTGGCAATGGAAGCAGTGCTGCTCTTGGGCGGTGCCCAGATGATTTGAACTGCTCTGACTGCTCTGGGTTGTGCGTGGCTGCGTCGTCGTTGTTGATGCTTCGGCGTTCTGCTGCTGGTTCCGAGCCTGCTGGCAGAGCAGAATTCGACATTCCTGGGGGGAGTGTCTCACGTGTGCCTGGTGCGCCTCGCACCATTGTCTCTGTGGTCGGGCGGTGCCGGTTGATGGCTTCAAGCTTGGGCGGGAACCGGTCCCGGCGCGTGTCGTTGCATGGTGATGCAACCGGTACTTCTCGGCTTCTGCGACAGCTTCTGGCCACGTCCAATTCCGGTTGTCTATCCATTTCCGTTGTAGCTCGTCCTGCAGACCGGTTGGAGCAGCCAGGATCAGCTGCTCAATCAGCATTTTATATCGGATCGTCTCTGTCGATATTGGTTGTCTCGGGGGGGGGGGCGAGAAAAGAATCGAACGTATGTTCCAATCGGCCCACAAAACTAACGTAACTCTCGCCATTCTGCGGGTGGAGTAGGCAAAACCGATCCAAACGGTCTAGATGGGGTGTAGGGTGAGAGAGAGCAATAGCCGCAACGAGATTTTCAAAGTCTACGATTCCGCGTCCGTACAGGATCGAGGCCGTTTCTCGGACAAGGCTGTGAGTTTTATTGATGAGGCACCATACCTTGGCATCCGCGGAAATGTTGTTGATTGCCGGCATGCGTCGGAGTTGATCCGCGTAATCTTCAAATGACTCGTTTTCACGTTGGCGGGGCAAGTCTGCTAGCTGCGGTTCTCCTGGATGGCGGTACCCGGGTGGTACTGGGGGTGGTGGAGGGGTCGGCGGATGTGCGACAAGGATCTCCTGGGCCTGAACAGATGACCATGACGCGATCTGAAGGTCCAAGGGTCAAAGATGCCAGCCCGGCGGGGGAATCCATCTCTGAGCTATTGACGCTGGTATCTGGTTTGCCGTCAGGAGGTCGACGTATGTTGCCCGGTCCACGCCCCCTGGTGCTCCCAAACGGTATGCCTCTGACAGGTATTGCAGGGTAGGCAGGGGTATATTGTCCCAAAGAATGCACGCTTCTGGCGTGGACGGTACGATGGGAAGGCTCCGCGGTGTTGCTGGCGTAGCCTGCTCTGTGGATTCGGTTGCATCCCCGGCAGGAACTGCTTGCGGGTCCGACATGGGTGCAGGTGGCACGTAGGGCAGTGCCGCAGCTCGCGAATTCTCTGTATTCCGTACCATCTCAGTGCCACTGGCTGGATCGGCAAAAAGCTGGACAAGCCCCCAGTAAGGATTCGTAACAAAGTCCTCCGCCAGGGCACTATTTCACACAGAGTCTTTATTTGACCAAACTCCATTCAGATGGCAGGAACACAATCACAAAGTCAAGTCACACAATAAAAACAGTAGACAATGTCAGCTCATCAAAAGTCAAGAGCGAAGTGAGGTTCCGGAGTCGTGGTTCTCTCCACATCTCCTCCGATCAAGATTGCCATCTTCCTGCTGGGTAAGCTTGGGTGGGCAAATGATTAGAGTGTAGGGATTTCTAGTTTGTAGAAGTAGATGTAGCTCTAAGGGGTTCCGATAGGGAGCCCTTACTGCACCAGCAGAGAACTCATTTGGGAAGGCGAGAGAGTTTAGAAAACGTATAATTGAAAAATATAAACTTGGTAGAGTGGGAAAGAATAGTACTTTGGTTCTTCCTGTTCCATTTCTTCCGATGTCCTCGATACAGCAGGGTGAAAATGAAATCCTGGGAACCACGAAAAAACAACATTCATTTATCAATCTGGCAGATGTCACTGCACGGATGATGTAATTTTAGTTCAGCTTATTTCTTGTAGATATCGCTTCTGCATAGCCTCATGGCGGCGATTCATAAATCCCGATCGAGTTACGGATGGAGGAACATTTTTTTCTGGTGTGAGAGACGAACGTATGCGCTGCGGAGCGCAACGGTGTCCTCCTTTACGATTGCGGTTGGGATTTATCAATGTGTATCAATTTTTTTTTCTCAGAATCACATTTTCTGTGAAAATTTGAGTCTATTTTAGCACATTCTTGCGCGTTACCAATTCTTTATTTTTAATTTAAAATGGATCAAGTTATTGCTTTTACCGACCCCGGAAAGCAGTTCGCGAAGGACTCTCTGCGTTTGGTCAAAAGATGTACAAAACCCGACCGCAAAGGTATTCTTAAATTATGATTGTGGAAAACGCGGGCAGGATTATTCATAATATATTTTACAGAATTCCAGAAGATCGCGATGGCGACTGCGATCGGTTTTGCAATCATGGGATTCATTGGATTTTTCGTCAAGCTTATCCATATCCCGATTAACAACATCATTGTGTAAGTACGTGGAAAGCATGTTATCAGCACCTTGTATCATCGAAACTTTTGTTTCTTTCCAGGGGATCATAATGTGCTTCTACCTGTGACGACGTTCTTGCTGACTGTTTCCGAGAGTATATTTTATTTGATGGATTGATTTCATTCCGCGCTTTACTGCTGATATATTTGCGGATCTTCGAGAAGGATACAAATGTACGAACGTCGTATGACTCAGGATTCTATTTCTTGTTCGTCATTTCAAATCCTCCATGCATGATAGAGTGGTTCTTGTTATTTCATTCCTTTTTTTTTCCGTAGACATTCTAAATTTTTGTTTGCGTATCAACCCTTCTGCCGTCGGTGTGCTTCGCATTCTGCGAAGTTCTGTCGTTGAAAATGTGGCTGGAGAGATGACGGAAGACGCTTTTCCTAGGACCAATTTCGCGCAATGCCGCAGGAGAAAATCAAAGCCAATTTTCGGGATCGTCTGCGAGAAAAGATCCGTCCCAAAAGTCAGCGTTCTGTTATCCCTCGAGAAAGTGAAACGTCCCAAGCCCGATGGGTGAACGAGAACTTGTCTCATGATCGAAAACTCTCGTCCTTATTGATCCAGGCCGAGGCTGATGTTAGTGAGTATTCCTTGATGGACTTCGGATGGTCTGCTATGAAGTGCATTTGACCATTAAGTTCAATGGCAGGGACTCCTTTTTCATTGCGCGCGATTTCCATATTTTGTATGCGTTGGAATATTTTGGTTCTACCCAAGTTTTCTGGAACTGTATTGCAGAAATTGAAAAATGTTCAGATTGGTCTCACGTGGCTGAATTGCGTCCCTTTCGAGTCGTTCGGCTTTTTTTAATTTTTCGAGAATATGCAATGCGCTTTTGTATAACTATTAGTGATTCTGGGGCAATCATTTTTTATTTTCCATCAGGCCGTATTATTCGCTTCGAAAAATTTGAATAATTTTTCAACCGCCCTCGAACACGTCTGTTGGTTGTTGCCAATAATGTAAAAGTGAAAGAAATAGTAAAATGGGAGTTCATTTGGAAGCGTCAAAATGTAATACTCTCCTGTACTAGTGTATTTTTTCGAACTGAGTAGAGATCAATTTAGATGATTTCATCAACGTTCTCTAAAATTTTGTTCGCTTGTTGCTTCTTTTTCCCGTTAAAAAAAACGGACGATATTCTCCGGTACCGCAGCACGTTTGATGGTCTGGTCAATGTTCATTAAATTTATGTCGAATTGTATAAATTCAGCGATTAAATTTTAATTCAGCCCATCAAAATTTGAGCCACATCCAACACTAGAATTGGACCGAAGTCTTTCAGTTCCGTGAAAAACGTACTCACCTTCGATTCTTGAAAAACTTGATACTGTACTTCATTTGTCATTCTTGAAGTTGTCTGGTTGAGGTCTCAAATAATGTTTCTCTTACCCCGTTCGAAAAAAAGTTTTAAAAAGTATCCAATTCCTCTCCTAGCACTTTCTTACGGTTTGGTTGTCGTGTAGACTCGTCGGTTTCTATTAAATTACTCAATTACATTCCGAAATGTGAAATCCCTCGCAGAATTGAGTTTTCTCATTGATGCAATCTTCTGTTTTCCTTGCAGTTTGTGGTCATGGTGTGCATTGGGAATGGAACGATGTGGAGTCATGTTTGACGCCGTCTCTGGCCAGGATTCTCCTCGACCAAACTGCATTGACATATTTTATTCAATTCCTCGAACCGTTAGGAGCGTTGTGTTATGTTCAATTTTGGTTGAGCAGCCATAATTTTCGAACTGCTCTTCGCCAGTCCGAGAACAAAGACAGGGACTCGTCCAAAGTGGACTGTTGTCCCGATGTGCATCAAACCCTATCAAAATTGCTTCTTGAAGAAATCGGGTCAGACCCAGACGACCCCGAAGAAAAATGTTGCGGAAGTGGGGACCATGTCGGGGCACGGAACAAAATCCGGGTTGCCAGGACCGTCTCGGATTGTAACCGGGCTTGTGGAATCGTTCCCCAGTGGTCGGAATCGGCGCCGTTGACTCACTTTCAGCACATTGTCCGAGACGCTGTGAAAATCTGCGACCGGCACTTGAAATCCACTTCTTTGTGGCCGAAACCACTTCCCAGAGATTTGGTTGAAACCATTCTGCAGAGCGTTCGAGTGAACTCAGACGGCGACGTGTTTGACTCCGACATATTCCTTCCGGCGCAGGATTTTGTCTTCCAAATTCTGACCAAGGATTATTACACGCAATTCTTGGAAAGTGACGCATTTTACAACTACCGCATTGACGTGCTGACGAACAAAATATTGTCGCTGAAAGACGTCATGTACGATGATGCGGCTGCTTTCTTCTTCATGGAGGTACAGTACAATATGTTCCTTTTTTTTTAAGCTTCTGCTTTCACGTTTGATGTATATTCTTATTACAGTCGAATCTCTGTAAATCGAACTTCAAGGGACCATGAAAAAATTTGAGTTTTGGAGGTTTTGAGTTAAAACAAGCATTCTTGTTGGAAAGAATTACAGGATATTTTATTCCGTGATATTCTGAGCCTTAAATTACTTCTTAAATGAGTCGACAGGACGCCGAACTTGAAGGCAAGGGTTTATTTGCCCAAATATTTCTTCACTTCGTTTCAAATCGCATTTTACTTTTCAATTGCTTTTCTCTTTCTTGTTTCAATAAAATAATACGAGACATGTCAATTCTAAAAAATTCGATTGGTGTGGTTCAAGAGGGAAATCCTTCGAGTTAGGAAGTCTTTTATTGCATTCTTAGGGAATTCAGATAGGTACTTGAAAAATTTCGACATAGGGAGGTATTAGACTTGGGGAGGCTCGAGTTATCGAAGTTCAACTTCAGTTTTGGGTTTAATTTAGTTATCTTCGAATTTTGAGGAGAGTAAAAGTAATGAGGGATGGGACGGGGCAGCATTAACGAAAAATGAAAGTACGGACGCACAAGTGTTTGAAAAATTATTATTCTTGAATCACACGTATTTTTCTCATGCAGTACATGGAGAAAGAGGGACATTTGGACTTGGTCGAATTTCTTCTGACCGCAGCCAGCATAACTAGTCAGCTTCACAGTGATTCCATCTCCCCGGAAGCTGCCCAGAATGATGCTATGGTGGTTTACGATAGGTAACATTCTGCTTGTTCATGATTTCTTATAGAAAGACTTAATGTGTATTAATCTTAATAATGCATACGATATTTTTTCAGGTACATATCTCTGCAAGCAACTCATGCTTTGGGATTCAGTGACACGATTCGATTGGAAGTTGAAATGAGTTTGTGTCGTGAGAACGGACTCGGTCCTGATCCGAAAACATTCGTGAGACCTGCTAGTGTTGTCAATACTCTGCTTACCAAGGTGGGATTCAATATTTTTGAAAATGGATTGATTAGTTGTTCAGATAAAATGCTTTGGACCTCACCCTCAAAAGCCAGTAACATTTTATATTATCGTCGCTGTATGCATATATTTTTCAGCATTTCTTCCCGGAATTCTTGAAATCTCATCTCTACTACACGTACACGCAAGAACTGGTGACTACTTATCAATTGGATCATCTGAATGCTCGGAAGAGAATGCAATCATCGAGAAGTGGTGAGTGTAATGCAGGAAAAAGTACTTCTTTTTCAAAATTTGGTCAACCATATTTTTCGTGTTCATCGCAGAGCCGTCGAAGATATCGGACGAGACGAGAAGTGTTAGCAGTTCTCAAACAACAGGGAAAGCTCTGAATGGGATGACACGTTCGAGAGCAGAATCTCAACCCAAAGGAGCGAGAAAAATGTCTACGTCCACATCAGCGCCTGTAGATATTAGGCACAGAGCATCCATTGATCCGTTGCTTTTGCCGCCCGCTCAGCCCGAGTGAGTTCAATTTATTNTTTTTTTCGATTTTGTTTAGCAAAATAATTGAGGCGCGACAGTGTCTTCAAAATCCGAATTTTACTTGTATCAAGTTCAACGGAGTGTGCCGAGGTCTTTGCTTGGGTTGGTGCGTATTTTAGGCTACGTTTATGGGATATTTGAATGTAAATTTGCCGGTATGACGCTAATATTTTTTGTGTGATTTTCGTAGATCATTCTCGAATAATTTCAGCGTTTTCTCCGCCTTCCAGATATATAAGAGAGTATTTTGTAGAGCGTTGAAGACGTCTAGCGATCAATTGTGATGAGCTTTGAGTTGCTCTATTGAAACGAGGGTGCTTCATTTCCATATGAGTTGTTTTTGTTTAACCTCACGTCGTTTTTGATGCTGTGCTAAACTTCTCACTGAGGATGGAGAAGAAAGTGAGAACCAAATGGAAAGCAGAAAAAAATGCGGATGCCAAGAAGACTTCCATTGTTCAGCCCGGGAATCCTTCACAATCACAAGCAGATGTAAGGTTCATTATATCTTTCAGATTTTCCGCGAAATTATTTTCCATTGCCGTCTTATAATTTTGTTTGCCATTTTTTTTCTTTAATTTTGAAGGCGTAGCATCTAAAATAACTGACAATACCTGTATATACAGTACAAGTTAATCTAATGCAGTATCTAATGTCGAACAGTAGTAACTCAAAGTAATAATTTACTTACAGTAATAACTATGATATCGTGACAATGTATATAATGTACAGTATTAATTTACTTTCTGTATCAACTTGCTTGTTGTAATAACCTACACATACCTTACTTACAGTAATAAACAAATTACTGTTATAGCTGACTTGCAGTAATAACTTGTCTACATTAATAAACTGCTTACAGGCATAGCTTGCTGCAAAAACTTCCAATAATTTTCTCGCTAAGCCTTGCTTTACCCCAACTAAATAATTTTCCCTCACATAAATAAAGTTGCTCATGATGTAACTAACCTGGTCGCACTTGTTCTAACCAACCTGAAATTATCAAATTTGTCCTTAAAGCCCAACCTGATGCATAAGGATCCAACCTAGTTTCATAACTTGCTCAACTTACGCATAACTATAGTGACCTATCACATAAATAACCTAACCATACCTAGGCTAACTGAGTTGACCTGTGGGCCTCAGGTGTCCGTCAAATGAGTGAGGAAGTAGTTTGATGAAAGTAATATTAAGGAAGATTATAATTCCTCTCCTCGGGATGCGAATATGTTTCATTCCAATTCGACCGTTTTTTCTGGCAGGGACCAGAGCATCTTTCTGCGAGCTCATTACCAAATCATACCAATGATGTTCAAGAGGTACCGCTTGAAAAGCGTCGCTGTTCACGTCGGAATTCTGGTCTAGGACTGAGAACCCCGTCGAGTCCATTCCGA